TAAATATGTTTGGTTAGGAAACATTACCTTCTAAGTACCTAATATTTGGCCCATAAATCACTTTAGTCCCTTAAGTTTTGCGAAAAACACGTTGATTCCACTCAATTCTGAAGTTGATTTAATTGAGGACGCTTGATGGGGTTCCTCACTATTTGAGAACTTTGCTTAGTTGTTTGGAGCTAGAACCCATAACCAATGGGTGCATTTCTTAAGATTAGACCATCAATTGTTCAGCTTTACTTTCAAGTTTTCTCGCCGGAAAATGGTTGTCTAAAAAATATGTGGAGGACATAGGTGAGGAGAAATACTGTACGGTGAAGTACGGTTTCCAATCAAACTTAGGGGGTATGAAAGTTATCTATGATTCAAACTTTAAGGATCAAAGAGGTAATTATTCCACGTAGAGACTTACCAACCTTAAGCAACTACTGTACAGTTTTTTTTCCCTCTTGCCGAATCTTTTTTGTTTTTTAACAAAGAAATTATACAAATTGGTTTTGCATAATGGAGGTGATGGCAGCCAGAAGAGGGGTATGGGGATGTAAGAGTTAGACCAGTTCTTGTGCGCAAAGCAATCCAAAATGGCATATGCAAAGCATTGTACCCAAAAAAGGGACTAAAAGGAGGACTTGGTTTCTTCAATTTGCTATTCAAGTTGGCGGTTGTTTGCTTTGTGCACCTTTTTCACTTCAATTTATTTTATTTTATCGACTAACTAGTAGTCTCTTTATTAAGGACCAACTGAATATTTTGTATGTGAAGTTTTGCTTGCCAAGTACTTCTCCATCCTATTGTTCATTGTTTCCTTTTGGGTTGGAGGCTTGTGCGGATTCAAGAAAATGGTTTTCCTCTAAGCAATCATATAAAACACCTAATATTTTGTAAAACAATTATTTTCATCACATTTGTACTTGATATACGACTGTCCAACACATGCTTATAGGGCAAAGGTGAAAATGGATTATTTCATCACAATTATACATTACATTAACTTTGGCCTTTACCCCATTATCAATTTTCCCAATAACTTTGGCCTTTACCTCATTATCAAGTTTCCCATCACTTTAGACTTAATCACTTGGCTTAATCTGGCTTCTTTCTCAAAAGTGCCTGAACAATTTAATTATTTATTGCAGTTAAACGTAGGGCTATCAATGGCGGGCTAGTCTAAGCCCGGTCCATTCTACGAGAGAAAAAAGCTTGCTGAGTCTAAACTTTAATTAGATTGGGCAGAATTTGGGCCTAAATATTAGGGCCGAATTTAGGTCATGCTAGACTCGGACTTGATTAAGGTCCAACTCGTATGTGAATATAACAATACACATAAATGTTAGGGGAGAAAAGCCTCGAGAGAATCCATCAAAGAGCCCAATATGTAAGTCAAGAACTCAAATCTAACTCAAAAGCTTAAGCCGTTATGTCTCGGACCCTTACTTACATATTAAGTGCTCTTTCTCCATCTCTCGAACCAATGTGAACATATTTCTTTACACATGAGTCTAACAAATCTCCCCATTCATGAGTAATCCCTCACGTTAAACCTAAATTTACAAGCTCTTCTTCAAACTCACTTTAATACTCAACGTAAATTCACCTTGATACCTTAGGTTACCTCTTCTCCCAATCATGAATCCACGCTTCTTCGAGACTCAAACTGAATTTTTTTTGGACCCTTGCCAACCCTTAACTCTTTGGTCTAACACTAATTGAGCCCCCTGTCAAATCCGTGCCACACCTGATCCAACACTAACCAAACTCCTTAGTACTTTAGCATTTCGATCCATCATCAAAAAGAGAATTTTTAGTGATTCGACTCCGAGAAGAATCTACTTGCCCATGAATAACCCGATCTCGCAATCTGAAACTCTAATACCACTTGTTAGGATCCAAGTGCAAAATACACGACTATTGAGATATCAAGTATACAACAATTTAATGACAAACAAACTACAAGTATGAAAGATAAATGACACACAATATTTAACGTGATCATTAAGTCTACGTCCACGGAGAGAAAACTCATTCTTTATTATGAGAGGAAAAAACTGTATACAAGAATACAACTTGAACCCAAGTTCAATCCTTATATAACATTTCTCATCTCTCAAGAACTCTCACTCACATCCCATGTATAAAGCTACATGTCGCCTTTGTGTGCTCTTGTATGTCCCTTGTATGTCTCTTGTGTAGTATACCAACCTACCTATTTATAGAGAATATTATTTGGCCAAAAAATCAAATAATAATAGGAAACCAATACTAATTCCTAGATTAGTTCAGAATAGGAAATAATTTCTAAATCCTAAACCAAATAGAAAATTCCTTGACAACTATTCCAAGTAACTAAAACCAATTAGAAAACTAGTTACTTCCACACAAAATAAAAAAAAAACCTGTCTAAAAGAAATTAAACCAATTTCCTAACAATAAAATATAGGGTTAAATATAGAAAGCCCCTACAAACTATTACACTAGTTGTACTTTACACTCTAAAGTATTTTAATAGGCATTTTACACCCTTAGTCACCTAAAAAAGGCACAAAAATTAAGACTATTAGGGTCAAAATGGTGGAAAAATATGAAAATATTGAGCGACTGTTGTTGCAATTTTTAAAATCTCATAATTTTCTTCAATGCATCATAGCGCCATAACTTTATATAATCAACAAAATTTCACTTGAAATCTTGACAGGAATAAAATTGGAGTAGAACCCAAAATTTTTCATATGAATTTAACACAATAATCGCAACAACGACACATCATTGACCCAAAATTAAAACCCACATATTAGTAAACAAAATATTGGACTTAGAAATTTAATAAAACAACTAAATTATTTACTTTTCCTTGATAACAATCTTTTCTTACCAAGGCTGACTTGAAATATGTAGTAAAATAAGGCTGCTGAGATTCTTGAATTGAATTTATTCCCTTTCTTCCTTTTTTTTCTTACTTCTTTTGATTTAATTGTCATTCAAAGTTATCATATATTTTATTGTTATATGCTTTCAATTAGAATTTTACTATAAAGTGAAACTTAATCCATTCAAAGTGACATTTTTTTCTACCAACAGTTATTTTTGTCACTTATAAGCTTTTAATGGAGGATAAATTGGTTATTTCATCAATTATTTTGGACGAAATTAATTTTCTTATTGTTTTCCAATTGACCGAGGGTGTAAAGTTCCTATTAAAATAGCTTGGAGTGCAAAGTGCAACTAGTGTAATAGTTAACGCTAAAATATATATAACAATATATATAATTTATAATTATACATATTATGACATAAAATGTTAATAATTTATACTTAAATTTATAGTAATCCATAATTATAAAATATATATTACATATAATATGTTTATAATTATGAGTTTGAGTCGAGCCTGATTTGAGTCTAAAACTCATATAATAGTGGGAGCTCATTTTGAACCTTTTAATTAAACTCAAAATCTGAAAGCCCAAATCCCAAAAATCTGTATAATTTGTGAGCTGAACTTGGAATTATCATAACCCGTTCAGAAAGCTGAATTGACATGCCTAGTTAAATGTCAAGTTTATTATGTTTAGTAATTGCTAAATGATTAAGTGATTTCAATCCTATAGTCTATATCAACATGATTTTTTTCCTTAAAAGCAAGAAGGCAAACTTTTGAAACAGAATATCTATACTATATATAAAGGGGAGGACTTTTGGAGTAAACAATTTTATGTCACTTTATATTCTTCATAAAGTACCCTTAGTAACCACCCACGACTATATATCCTCTTTCCAAGTACCACGTATTTTTTATTATTTTAATTTTGAGATTGTTTAGCAAATCATAATTTATATTGACAACTACCAATTATGATTATAGATTAATACCAGTAACTATCTATTTGTACACTTTATTTTGGTGAATTTGTAAAATAGTGCCAAATATATAAAACCAATTCTCCTGAAAATGATTCATCAAGTATATTGAAAGCATTTCAACAATATTTTTTCTATTAGTTGCACACACATTAGCGTGTGTTTTGAGTACTAGTTAATCATAATACAACACCTAAATAGATCAAGCAAATATCAAACACTCGTGACTAATACGGATTAAGGGCTTCATAGGTCAAGTTCTGTCAAGTTTAAATCAATTCATGTAATTCTTACAATTTTTTTGTATAAACTCATATAATTTAGGTGTAAGTTTGAATTTGTTAACTAATACAACTAAATTGATGATCACACCAAAACTGTATTGAATTTACACCAAATATAATAAGAATTATATAAGCCAATTTGAACTAGATAGAACTCAACATATAGAGTGACAGCATTTTGGAAGGCAGAATCCAATTCCTGGAATCTGAGATTTAAGTTATACTCCCTCCATTCCTATTTAAGTGACCTGAATAACCAAATCTCTTAAATAAAGAAAGAAAGTTAGTTTCTAAAATTCAATAAAAATTTTACCTGACTTTCCAAAACTTCCCTTAATCTTTCAACTATTTTTATGTTTAATGCTACAAGCACTGCATTTAATTTCTTGTAATCCCAACTCAAGAAAGTTGAGAGTATAAATAGGGGTAAATTTGAAAAAAAAAATCATAAATGCTTTTTTGATATAATAAAAGGAAAGTTGATTTGGTTTCGGGTCATTTAAATAGGAACGAGGTTGTAATTGTGAAAGTAATTTAGTTAGGCAAGGACTACAGCCCACATTACTAGTATTCCTATGGCACAAACTTTCTACCAATGTCCATACATGCACTTTTACCAAAAAAGCAGCCAAATCCCAGAGTTATTTTAGGCTTCAAGTAATGTTCGCTTTTTCCTTTTTCGTGTGACTATCACAATTCACACACTTCCCTACCCAATTCCGGCGCTGGTTGCTTGCTTTTGATTCCAATTGGTTCAAAAGTTAGAACATTCTTTTCTCATCCTTTCTACTTCCAACCGATCACAACTTATGCTGCACCTAATTCCTCTATAAATATCCCACTCCAGTGCTTTTATTCTTCATGCTTCAAACTCCATCTCAATTCTTGATTCCACTACAATCTTCTTCCCTTGTCCGCTTTCCCTCCTTTTTACGGTTGTGAGTGCGTGAAAAAGTTGAAAATGGAGAAGCCCATTAGTCTTTTTACTGTAACACTTCTCTTCTTGTTGTTCAATCAATCATTGGCCATTCCTGGCACGTACAACATTTTAGAGTTGGGAGCAAAACCTGATGGGAAAACTGATTCATCCAAGTCTTTATTAAGTGCATGGGCTGCAGCTTGTGGCTCTACCAAGCCAGCCACAATTTTTGTACCAAAAGGAAGGTATTTTGTGAAGCAAGCACAATTTCGAGGACCATGCAAGAATAGAGCTATAAGCTTTAGAATAGATGGTACCCTCGTGGCTCCTTCAGATTACAAAGCCATTGGAAATGCTGATTTCTGGCTTCAATTTCACAGGGTTGATGGAGTTTCCATTCGCGGTGGCATTCTTGATGGCCAAGGTACTGGTCTCTGGGGTTGCAAAGCCTCCGGCAAGAATTGTCCGACCGGCACAACGGTATGTCAAAATGACCAAACTTGCCTTCACCATTTTCGTTGCTTCCCTAGCTTTACTACTCTTGACAAACTTCTTAGGCTGGTATTGTACTTTTCCATTTTCGCAGCACAATACTACATGCAGCAAGTGGGGAAGTGGGGAGTTTTTTTTTGTGTCTTATGGCATTCAAACGGATGCTAAAAATGGGCATAACTGACGCTAGTGGGGAAGTGGGAAGTTTCAAAGTTTGATCAAAAGACTAATGAGAAGTAATTAGTAGCAATTTGCAAATTCCTACGTGCCCGTTGCCGTTTATGGACCTTCGAATTTTCAGTTGTACAACATTTTGGTCTGTCAATTTTCAATAAATTAAGAATCTCAATGCTTTAATTACCACTTTTTTTTTGGCACATTTACAAGGAATCATTAAATTCTAAATCCTGCCAAAATCTATGAGCTAAGCATCTAAATTGTCTACAGTCTAAGTAATGCTTTTTTTAAAAAAAAAAACTTCTTTAACAACCATTTTTATGTATGCAGACATTGGGATTTACCAACTCAAACAACATTGCAATTGCCGGCCTAACTTCTCTCAATAGCCAATTGTTCCACTTGGTGTTCAACGGCTGCAACACCGTGAAATTGCAAGGAGTAAAGGTTTCGGCGGCCGGAAACAGCCCCAACACGGACGGGATTCATGTGCAATATTCATCAGGAGTCACAATCTTGAATTCCAAGATCAGTACTGGAGATGACTGCGTTTCAATTGGTCCTGGCACTACAAGTTTGTGGATTGAAAATGTTCTTTGTGGCCCTGGCCATGGCATCAGGTGACTAAAACTGATGCTCAATTAACAGTTAGTATTATCTTCTTTGAGGACTAATTTAATTTTTTTGGGCAGCATTGGGAGTCTTGGAAAAGATTTTGAAGAAGAGGGAGTACAGAATGTGACAGTGAAAAGTGTTACCTTCAGGAATACACAGAATGGTGCAAGGATTAAATCATGGGGTAGGCCAAGCAAAGGTTTTGTCAAGGATGTTTTGTTCCAGCATGCCACTATGATCAATGTCCAAAACCCCATCCTAATTGACCAAAATTATTGCCCGGATAACATCAATTGTCCTGGACAGGTATATAAATTATTTAATGGGCATTATTAGTTGTTAGTATATTTGATGTATTTCTATCCACGGGATAAATTAAGAATTTGGGTTAATCCTTTTTTACTTAAACAAAATAAAATAAGAACATGAAGATGGATGATACACTACAAATCTCTTTCTGGGTATTTCAAGATACGAACAATTTTCTAATATCATGTAATTCGATCTTTTTGACAGGTTTCAGGCATAAAAATAAACGATGTTACGTATCAAGACATCCATGGAACATCAGCAACAGAAATTGCAGTCAAATTTGATTGTAGCAAGAAGAATCCGTGCAGTGGGATAAGATTGGAAGATGTGAAATTGACATACAAGAATCAACCGGCTAAAACATCTTGTGCCAATGCTGCTGGAACTAAACTTGGTTTGCTTGGCACTAATAGCTGTTTGTAGGCAAAGATCACAAACCCCTTCCCTTTTCCCCACCCCCTAACCCAAAAAAAGAAAAAAAAAACTACGTTTCCCCAAAAAAAAAAAAGGGGTTGGAGGAAGTGTAATGGGGTACAGATGGTATATTTGAATAGAAATTTTAGTACTTAGGTTATAGCACAGCAAGTGACTCAATCAAATTAATTTGCCTGCGCCGGAGGTGTTGGCATAATCATTGTTCGCCTGGCCATGCAACAGTCATGAATCTGTGATCAACAAGTCCAGTGGACAGAAAATATATTTCCTGTAGTGAAATGGATTAAATTCAGAGTAATTAACATTGTTTTTTTTCTCTACTTACCCGTTGATACTCGAACCCAAGATCTGTCGATTATATGTAAAACGTCTTATTAACTAAATTACGCTTCGTTGTTGGAGTTGTTGTATATATATATATATATATAAATTGGATGATGTATGACTAAAAAGATATATTCTCAAATTGGATGATGTAGGAATAAAAAGATTGATTTTGATAGGAATGTTTTTCGTTTAGATTTGAATTTAGTCTCCCATATGTCAATAAGAACCTCTATAGAGATAACAGCTTTTTATGGGGAATTTGTACAATCTATATTGACAAGAATATTTGCTTTTAGTTCGTCCACAAATGTTATTAATATAATGTTTTAGGATCATCTCTATTGAAATTCTCTACATTAATAATTGGTCTCTCAATTTTATTCATATTTAAATTTATATAATATTATAAAATTATGCAATTCTGTCATCACTTTTCTTTTGATCTCTAGATCAATCTATTAAAAAAATGATATTCTAATTTACTTGAAACATTTGAACGGTGAAAAATAGATCAAAATTATGACAAATTTTGAACAGTGAAACATTATTACAAGATACGATCAACCACTTTTCATCCAATCTAGTTTAAAACATTTTTATTTTAAGCTAATTATTTACATAATCTGGTGGGCATAATAATTGCATGTGTTTTATAGTTATAATAATACCCAAGATAGATAGATAAGAAATTTAAGTGGTTTTCGTCGAGATTTTCTAGAAATTGTTCAGATTTTGGTGCTTTATGGCTGGTCTCTCCTTCATTTGTTGTTGGGGGGATTTCTCCTTCATTTGTTGTTACTCGAATCTTTGATTAAAAAAAAAAAAAAATTTGATGACTTTTCTGGTAAATATGCCTCCTCCTCTCATAGATTCTGGTTGAATGTGAATAGCAATATTCCAGCAAGATCTGAGGATATGAACTTCTTGTCAGGAATGCGACCATCTAAGTGGTCGGGGTCGGGTTGTAGCCGCCCCATTGTTTATTTATTAATGAAAATGAAAAAAAAAAATGCAAGTTTTGTTGGGCAGCTTCATTTCGCCTACTGGAAATGACAAACAAATTAATAATTTTCAGAAATTGAAAATTAAAGAAATAAACACTACTAATGGCTTGTCTAACATTCACATTAGGGGCCAATTATCTAATGTTCAATGAGAGCAATTTAAAATTGGGCAAATTATACTTTACCCCCTGTGGATTAGCATTTTTTTACATACCCCCTATGGTTTCAAAAGCTATACATAACCTTCTCATGGTTTGGATTAAAGTGTCAAAGTGACGGAAACAGTCACTCGTAACGGAACTTTTAAAAATGTCAAAATTATCCTTATAAATACATGACACATAAATCTCGTATGATTTTATATTTTACCATATAAACCCCTTATGCTTTAATACTTTACTATATAACCCCCTTATGGTTTTCAAAATATACACATAACCCCCCTTGGTTAATAAATAATTTTCAACTTTACATAAAGGTATTTTTGACATTTTAGGTGACTCTGTTACGAATGATCTTTCTCATCATTTCGACACTTTAATCCAAACCATAAGGGGGTTATATATAGCTTTTGAAACCATAGGGAGGTTAGGTAAAAAAAGGTTAAACCACAGGAGGTAACGTGAAATTTGCCCTTTAAAATTTAAACCGGAAAAAGTCAATAAGAGCAGCTGAAACTTGTTAAGAGATCATTTTCCAACTTCAGAAAAAACGAAGTCATTTTACTGGAAGGTAGAATTGAAAATATGACTCGAGACCAGAATAGTAAGAAGCAAATAAACGAGAGAAGAGATTTTCACAGCATATCTTTATATATATACTAGGGATTGCTTCCCACGCAAGGCGTGGGAGCTTTAGACCTGTTAGCAAGGTTCCTTATTATGAAAAACCAGTATATATTAGTAAGGTGTCATTGAGTTTAAGCAATTGCTGATTTTCACTTTTCTGTTTTATTAGCAGAGGAGAACTGGTCTGAGTTTTTATATAATTGATTGCTGCTTGAAATTGTCATTGTACTGAGAAGTAACGAAGAGAAAACAAACTTGATTAAATATATAGAGTATTATGCAGGGGTGAGGGAAGGGAAAAAGTTGGAAGAGAAAAAGAAGCGAAGATAAGAAACAGAAAATAGTAGGAATGCAGAAGTTGTATACACAATCTATAAGCACAATAAGTGTCGTACAATGAATGAGCATGAGCAATTGCTTTCATTGCATGAAGTTTTAGGCTCTGATATTAAGTGTAAGCAGAAATCAACAGAGTGAGTTTCTTGCTATAAAAGTTTAAGAATAATGTCTATGCTGCTATTAAAAAACAAAAGCAATAACCGACGCTAGTTCAGGCTTGTGTCGTGAACTGAGTGTGTTACACGAGTTCAAAATGCTTAGTCCATTCAAAGAGCTCCAGTTCTGATTTCTTTTCTGCAGCACCATGAATCTACCAATTACAAAATTGTCCATGAGCAAAGCTTGTAACAACTAAAAAACATCCAACATAAAGCATTGTCAACGAAAACATTTTTTTTATTCTATAATAAAGAGATCATGCATCTATTGTGACTAAATATGCAATGAAAATGATGCGTTTCTCAATCTTCATTACACAAGGAGGAAAGTTTTAGTCAAAGTAACAGCAGGGGTTGGTATGTGGAGAAGGTGCGAGTATAATAGCATAGAGGTAGTAATAGATGGGAAAACACTGAATATCTATTATGGTGATGCAATCTAAAATGGATTCAGCAGAAGAAATAAGTCTATATAATTCAGATGTAGAGAAGAAAATGAAACAAGAAGATTAATAAGAATGAGTTATTGTACAGCATTAATGAGAATTGATGCTCAGGTTAAATCAGTGAATAGTGTTTTGCTATGTTTAATTACATTTTTCTCCTTAGAGATGCTTAATTCAATAGACTAAATGTCTCGAATTCTTGTGCAAGAGGGTCATTTTGGCATAAGCTTTCCACCACTGCTCTTGTTCTTTGCTTTCGTTTTCTGCATCTACACTATTTTTGGGCTTGCAAATTCTGTCTGATTGTAATGTGTAATTTTTTCCCCTCATTTCTTTGCTGATTCTAATGCCTAATATATTGGGTCTCTGTTTTTTCAAAAATTTTGATTTTGTTATTACCCAGAAATTTTGATGCTATCTCTGCTGTGTCTCTTTCTTAGCTGTCCTGGCCTTTGCTTTGACTGGTGTGCATAAAAATGGCCGCAGGAAGCTTGACAGCTGAAGTGGTAGAGGACAAGCTAAGGAAGTAAATGAGCGGATTCCAGTACCAAGATTGGCTAAAAAAAGACCAACAACTGCAATTACTTTGTTATGTTTTGTCTTTGAAAGCAACTTTATTGTCACATTGCTTTCACCAGCATCCAAGATTCCTAATGCTAAAATTGTATGCATCTTGCTCACAGTGTCCTGATGCTTATCCAGAATAAATTTTTCCAATGGCCGTCTGTTAAATGAGGCAAAAATATCAGGGAATCACTGTTAAATGAGGCAAAAAACTACCTGAATGCATCAACAGGGGAATCGCTGGCACATCTGATGTCAAAGGCTCCAGCAATGATATGGCCTCACTCGGACCAGTCCCAGCACATGATATGCCAAACATAAGAGCTGGACTATGACGAACATGTGGATTATATGATTCAGAGAGCAGGGAGACGATTTGAAGAGTCTACATTTTAAGGTTAGCAACTCAATTAGATGGATTGTTCAATATGTGCATTTTCATCGATCCTTGTAGAAGGTTAGAAAAAATTAAGAGCGAATACATCATATGAAAAGTTGTTTGGAGAAGTAAAGCCTTGGTGTCAAATTCTTATAGCCTAGAACATAAACCATATGCAAGTGCCAAACCTGAACATAAGAGAAACTAACCCAGTGCCAAAACCGCAGTGTGCCTAACATTGTCACTCAATTCTGATGCAGCAAAATGCAGCAGCTGTCGAATGGCCTTGTTGTTTGCAGTTCTACTGTAAGCCAATGCCAATGCATACATTTATCCATAACGTAGTATGGGGTCTTGATCCCAAGTTATCTGCTCAATCAGTGTATGAGTTGCTTCTTCTGTTCCATAAACTGTCAAGAGCTATTCCCAATGCCAAATCGTTAGAAATGTCCAACTGACTTTTGATTTCTCTTTTTCACAAAAAGAGAGAATAAGAGAGAATTCATTAAGCTTTTAATTTTAGAAATAGATTATAGACGTTAAGCACTGTAAAGGACATTCTTTAAGGTAGGTACTATGCTGAATAACCTGTAGGAGACAATTTTTAAAAAAGGCGGAAAAGTGCAAAGATAAAAATAGGTAGTTTTTTACATAATACAACAAGGCAAATACCTCAGCATTAGTGCTTGTTAGACTATCACACAGGAACTGATTTATGCCTTCCCCATAGTAGACAATGCTTGTGTTTCTCGTAGTGCTGTTGTGTTAAACTTAGCCTAATTTATAGCCCTGGTGAGCCAGTTCTGAGAGTTTAAACAAATACGAAATGTTAGATAGAAATGACTACTTTTATCATTATGCAACATATAAAATGATGAGCAAAGCAGGTGCACAGTAAGGTGTTGACGGTTCTGACAGCATGCATAATGCTATTAGCGTATATAGTTGCATTATGACAAATACCATTTCTCATCTCAACAGATTGCTTTATTTTGTTGAGAATTAGGACATGCAATGTAATATGCAAAAAACCAAAAATTAGTAAAATACTTCAAAGAAATCCAGTAAACTGAGAAACTATCTTGGGAAGAGAAGAAAAGAAAATAGGGAAAATGCCTTAGTTATAATAACTACATGAGAATTGCAATGTCAACTGTATGGAAGTCTCTCCAGACAGTATTCCTTTTATTTTTGATAACCTCTCAGCATAAACATGTTCCTTGAGACTGGAAAGTTGGTCCTTCATTTTCAAAAGAAAAGCTTGGTGTTCATTCTCTACAAGGTTAAATGCTATTTGAAATCCCAATAAAGCATCATTGTTGCTTTCTGTTCTTAAGAGTTTCTCAAATACAACAGCAATGTCCTCTGGTCTATCCAAAAACATGAGAAGCTGACATATGCTTAAATAATGAGCTGATGTCTGTTTTTAGAATACTCTAACAGGAAGATGCTGTATCTGCATTAAAGTAGTTGAGGGTCAAAATTTCTCAAATTTTGACATCTGATATATTTGGACTAATGTTCTCTAGAATTAGGAATAAGGTTAACAAGAATGAATTAGATAGATATAACCACTGTTCTGATATTTTCTAGAGCTGACAAAATTGTGAGAGACATGATTACAATAGTATAGGATTACTTGAATGTTGTCACTTCTTATAACTGCTTCCCCAATCTTATCCAATCTTTGGTATTTTATGGCTATTCTCACAGCTTATTGATGTTTTCTGTTAGTTATAAACCTACAGGGAGGTCCAAAAATGAGATAATGAGAAAAAGTTCAAATCTCTAGTGTAATCTAGCATTTCAGAAGTTTACATACTTATCAAGCATCCTTTCAACAATGGGTTTTGATCTTGAATCTATCTTTGCTGCTTTATTTGACTCAGCAGCCTTGGTCTTTAGGTCAAGACATTCGTCTATAGCTTTAGCTGAGACACAAAAGCATATAATAGAAAGATAAGTAAGAAGTGCATGCCATGGTTAAAAAGAAATGCATAGTTAAGTTATGTAGTACCAGTGCCACTTTATAGTCAAAAATCAGTATTTATCTAACCATGTATTATTTTCTTATAAATGCAATACATATAAATACTGAACAAATTTAGAAGGCAGAATTCAAGAATAACATCCTACCTATAATACTTCGGACATAATCTGAATCTTCTGATACATCGAATAGAAGGTCAGCTCCAAGGGCATACGACAATGAGTGATTTAGTTCATTCAAATAACAAATGACCTGAGAGGGGAGACAGAGATTTGTTATAAATAATGAATGCATACAAAAGCAAAAATAACTTATGCTTCCTCTTCTTGAGATGTATTTTACATAACCTGGTAAAATGTATGCTAACATATTAATCAAGAAGATGAGCACTCTGTAGAAGTAGGCTTTAAAACAAAAACTTCCAACAAAACTATTGTTTAGAAGGATTTCGAGTTTCTCTAATCATAAACTTCAAAGTAAGGTAGATGATTATTTCTATCATCCAATTTATTATATAAAACAGGCAAGAAGAGAATTAAAGATACAGGAAAAGCATGTTTGAATCTTTGAGGCCAGTAATGCAGCTAGTTGCCTCTGGGTCTCATCAAAGTCCTCATCTTCATATACACTCTCACTGCAAAACGATAAACACTCAGTAATCAATTTTCTGAACATACAAAAAGTTGTGTACATACAACTGCAAGAATGAGTAATAAGGGTAGCATCATGAGAGTTCAGCAATAACTAACATTTGCATAAAGCTTGTAATAAGAGCAGAAAAAAGACATTTTCCCAACAAAAGCAGTAATCAGTTGTATGAGCTTTAAGAAAAAGATCAAGCAAGAGGTTGGAATGACAAAAATGCCCCTAAGGAGAGCAGATCAAATGTAATCAACACTAACCTCTGTTCTTTGAACATTTCCTAAGGATATTTGTAAAAGTATAAGCTAGCTCAATAAATGAAGCAATGGTATGAGTTATTGACTCAGAAGGGCTAGTGGCTGAGATGAAAATTGACTCAAGAATTCAAGCAATGGTATCCAAAAACCAATGAACAGCAGCCAGTTGTACCAGCTGCAACAAAACGAACAAGCGCCGGGCCAAAATGACAAAAATGCCGCTGGGGAGAGCACATGAAAACCAATGAACAGTATCCAAAAACGCCTTCTTATAATATATAAGGATATATATATATATATATATATATAACAAGCTATTTTTTTGAAAAGATAACTAAAGGCCGAAGAGCCCAAAGAACAAAATGTAATACTGATTAGGGCTGAAGAATTAAGGAATTGAGGAAGATAGAAGGAGAGGAAAGAGAACAAAAATGATAGGGAAGATAGACTTCAAAATAAGGAGATAAAAGAGTAAAATTGATTGTCTGGGTAAGGAGACTACAATTCACATACAAACTGATCTTCATTACATCCCCAATCTCCTATGTATAGATTCAGCTTATAGAGTAGTTACCATGTAACTAATATTCCTCTTGCAACTAATTGGTCTAATTATCAGATTGAGTCATAACACAAAACTTGCTTATCCCTGTTATAACTACCATGGATGAGATTTTAGGTCCATGGGTAATTTTTCAAGTATTCCACCAAAAGCACCGGCAATATCCTCCGTAGTAACAGTCAACAAAAGATCAACTAACTCTGCAGGGACTAACTCAAAATGCTTCTCTACAAGGACTAACTTAAAATTCCTCACGTGGCAGCCATATAAAATAATTGCTGTTTTTTAGACGTAGGTTCTACAAAGAGGGTTATTTTTCTAGCTATAATTGGTGTTTTGCATATGAGTATTTCCCTCCTTCGGATTGATAGAGAATCAATACTGCACAAGAATATAAGATTGGTAATTAGAATTACCTCTGTAATTCTTTCACTGAATATAAAGTAATTAGAAATACTGTTGTTATATGTTATCAAACATTTTTAAAATATTTTGTATCAAATGTTAGTGATATTTTCGAAAAAATCATTCAAAACATCTTTTACATTTTACTAAAATAAATTTTTTCATCCCTAAATTTTAAAATGCTAACTTCAAATTTGGTTCAAGCCTAGGTTTCTGATCACTTTTTAACTTCAATACACCATATGACCCATATATAGTCATTTTTGTGTGCAAAAAAGTCAGATATTTGTAGTTAAACAAATTGCTCAACCCGCATTCATTTTTGCTCCTAAAAAGGATTTGTAGCTAAATAAATTACCCAACTCACATCCATTTTTTGCCCTTAAAAAGATGAGTTTTAATCTTTTTGTCCCTAAAACAATGATTACGTATAGGTCACAAGATGAACTTAGGCCAAAACTTAGTTGGAAACCTAGGGATCAAAATTGATTGACTTGATTTTGTAAGAAATGTAAAGTTCAGTATTTTAAAATAAGGGATGAAAAAAATCATTTGCTAAAATGTAAAGGATGTTTTGAATGATTTTCCATGCTTTTCTCAACAGTTCATGCAATCAGTTATAAGTTTCAACTTTCAATTAGTATATGTATATTATTAACACGGGGGAGAAGTGTGATTTAAAAAGCGGATAGAGGTTTCAATTTTAACCATTAAGCTAAGCCCTCGTCAACTATAGTGTTATAAATCTGTAAAATAAGCATTTTAATGCTCCACTTAATATTATCTTATAAACTATAAGCCATATTCTATATAACTGGGGCTGAAGTAGAACTAAAAATATTTACGTAGCAATCCATGTTTCTTTTTTCTTTTTTGGAACAGCAAATGCCGAATGCATAAGAAATGTCTACAGTTTTTTCTTTTTGCCCTTTTCCCTTGTCTGAGAAGATAAACATAAATTGATCTCCTTGAACCAATTAGTCATTTCTTACCATTGTCAGAAGTTTAAATTGGCATCCCTACCTTGTAACTTTGTCACGGTTTTTGAGCTTTGATGCAGGCCCATTAGTTTTTGCCCAAAATTCATTTTCTTTTTGTTCTTTTTAACCACTGTTCTGATTATATGCAGGAATTAGCAACTAATGGCAGATGCATCTTGATCATCACAATTCCATTCTAAGCTCAATTCTTTATTTATTGTTCATATGTATTCTGCTACTGCAGAAATAGCAGGTTTGGTTTCATAAATTGCCCTGCAAGTTAGGCATACACTACAAGTCTTGAGTACCATTAGTCACTTCTACAAGTTCTCCAACGCCCATCTTTCATACAGGCCAAAACTGTGCATGGAAGATTTGCCCGCTAAACAAAATTAGTTTAAAGTAGGTGAGCTCCATAACCCACCTCAAATCTACCAGCTATTTTGCCTACAAATCTCCCTGAACAATCTAATCTACAAATCATCCGCTTCAACAAAAGGGAAGAAATAAAAAAAGGATAGAGAAAGGAAAAAGGAAAGCTAACCAGCTTGAGCTGGGGGGAGCGGCTTCGAAGGAAGCTTAGCCGCCGGCTTGGATTGCTGCTGCCGAGCAGCTGCAGGAGCTGGGGTTTTCTTAGCTGCGGCCATAGGAACCTTCTGAGCAGCAAAACCCCTCAAGACTTCCTTTTCAACCGGACCTTTTTCAAGAAAGATTAATCAACGGTATATCCATTGTGTATCAAAATATTTTATCGATCTATACTATCGAAGAAGAGGGACCAGAGAAACAGAGAGAGAGCAGAGCTTGATGAACAAAGAGACAAGGGAGAAAATGGAACGAGAAAATAAAAAGAAGAAGATAGAGATGGAGGCTAATAAGAAGGCGGGGAATTATCTTTAGAGGGCTGGAAACTCTTTTTGGGCTAAAAGGACGATCCTGACCTGGAGATGGTTGTCTACACACCACACAAAAGGCATATTTTGGGTTATTATTGTCAACACAGTTTTTGTGATTGTCACCTAATTACCAAAATATCCTTTTCAAGACAGATGAAAAAAAGTGTAGATCAAACCGTAATCTGGCTCAATGGACATTCAAAAGGTTGCAGTACAGCCAGCATGACAGGCTGCGTGATGGTTAGTTGAAATGACAAAAATGCCACAGAGGAGAGCAGATGAAAATTGCAATGAACAGTAACTTTCAAACGTCTTCTATAGTGTAACTTACAAGGGTATTTTTGAAAGTTGTGGGAGGATAGCTGCGTACAGGAACCCAAAACGTGTTCTACAACATTCGGCTAAAGCTTGCGGCAGATGAAATTTGAAGGACAAAAATGCCCCTGAAGTGAGCAGATGAAATTTTATGGACAAAAATGCCCAATGAACAGGACCCAAAACGTCTTCTTATAAGATATAAAGATATATATAAATATTTTTTTTTTTTTTTTTTTTGCCCCTAACTGATAAGTTGAGAAAGCCTCAAGAGAATCAATAGATTCTTAAGAAAGTGACCATTTAATAATGGATACGACAAATAAGTATTGAGCATTACTCTTACAAACAAAGATTGCAGCCCACCATGTTGAAGTTGATAATAGCAATTGTAGAAAAAACACAATGTGTTAATCACTATCAGCAACGTTAATGTGTTACATCGCATGAATCAAACCTTGTGCCATGTAGAAGTATCGCGAGGGAATCCAAGAAACCAACAATACAAATTCATCAAAGGGATCATTTCTGAAACCTCCCTTGAGGTTTCTGACAATTGCACTTGGCCCCCCTTAGGTTTAAGAAATTACACTTACCTCTCTTGATATAGTAAAATACCTACAATGCCCTCCATTTAGTAGACAATTTTAAATTTAAGACAATAAATTTACAAAACCTAAAAAAAATCTATTTTTCTACCTCTTGTCTATTTTCTAGTTAATATAACCTCTTTTTATTATCTTTAGTTTTGTGGATATTAGCAAATTGAAATTATAAAATCTACAAAGGGAGTAGATTGTGTGTCAAACTAAAAGGAAATGAAGAGACTCACAGTGATAGATAAATAAATAATAAAATTAATGATTAAAATAGGAAGAAGAACTAAAGATATGAAATTTGTTATATTTTGTTTATTGTTAGGAAAAACTTTTATAAAATGTCAATAATTACATAATGATTTTTTTCATCGGATTAGAAACTTTTTATTATGATTTTATTGTTGAGGTAGAATTTATTCTCAACTTTTGAGATATTAATATTTTTAAAATCATAGGAGAATTGTAATGGTGGTTCTCGGTCAAATTAGCTTATATTGAAAAGGTATTTGAGCATTGATATTTACTTCGGGGGTATAAAATTGGTTGTCAATGGAGTTTTGTGTGGTTTTTTTTATCGTGACAAGTATTGACATTGTATATGCAATTTGGGATCTTTTGAATGGCTACTTGATTGTAAAACTTATACATGGATGGTTGTTAGGAATTTGGCTTGTTGATTTATACAAAGTGTGGAAGAAAATGATTGAATATACTATATTTTTCTTTCTTAGTTTTGTACAAAATGGCAATTTAGGATTTTTGAAAGAAAATTTAAATTCTTGGACTTACATTGTTACTAAATAGTAAAAGTATGGGAGGTATACGTAATTTTTAAAATCTGAGGGGAGCTCTTTGTAATTGTGAGAAACTTCAGGGGAGGTTTGTGAAATTATCCCTTCATCAAAATCAAAATCAGCCTGCAAAACAATTAATCAAATTCAAGGATCACAGGTCTATGCAGCCAGATCTTTCCTAAAAATCAAATTCAGAAAGTATGTCAAAAGAGGGATTTCTTTTTCCACCAAACAAAAAAAAAAAAAAAATCGCGAAAACCAATTTAAAGAATGCCTGATAGCCAACACCCAATGCCAACAGCTGTTATGCACTAACAAAAAGAAACAAAAGAGGAAGAAGAACCATTGCAAACTGTCGTAACGTTAGAGACAATTATGTGATAATCGGAGATGTTCTGATTTCCGTAACCATCGTACCTTTAATTCACATAATGATCAATTCGAAATGACATAAAACCCCGCAAAGTTCTACAACCTACAAGTGTTAATTGCCAGGTCGAACGGGAAAGAAGTGATTTCACACTTAAACAGGGTAATAATTAATTAATTGTAACATGCATAATCATACATTCAATGCACAAGAAGGACAATATAGTCAAGTTGACAAAATCTGATGTTTCTGTTATTTGTAGTCATAGCCTCACCACCTATCAATACTCACTTTAAAAGACAAAGATAATCTTTAGCATGCGATTGAAATTCAAAATAAATTTGACTAATACTCATTTTTATATAATATAAGGATATTATGAATGGAATTGATCTTTGAAAATAATTTTTAAATTAATTTTATTAGGGTACAATATATAGAAATTCTTTCCAATGCAACGCAAAGGAGTCTAATTCTAATATAATGTACATATATCCTTATCCTTATATTATATAAGATAAGATTGAGTTTTGGTCAAAGAGGGAGTTGAATTTCAACCGCATGGGAGGGGGCATTTTGGAAATTTCAAAAAATGTGTTGCTTTTTTCAAACTTTTGGTACAATTAATTGTAGCATGTGTTTGGATGTTTTACATTAAAACCACCATGTTTGTACATTTAAATCTTGTATTTATAGACACACCTCGCTATTTGTGAAATGTGGGCTTATTTGACAATCACTTGTGCATTTGGTCCAATTCATATAAGCTCGGTGAATGCTTTATTTGATTCTCTTTCTTGATTTTTTTATGTGTGTTGTAGAATGTTTTTACTTGCGTATTTAATACGTATGATTAATTCAGTCAAAGCCTTCTCTCTCTCTTTCTTTCTCTCACATTCTAACACACTAGTATTTTGACTCGTACTATGCACAGGTTATAGTTCAAATCAAAATAATATTGTATATATTTATATATTGTGGTACAAAATAATAAATATACATATAGACTAAAAATTTTAAAGAAGTGTATGCTTAATATTTTGAAAAAAAAATTAATCTATAATGATTTACCTGATAAAAAGAATTGTTAACGCATTTAAGGAGAGGGTTAGGTTGGGTGGTAAGGCGAGAAGAGTTTTCTAAAAAAAAGCCAATTTATCAATATCCGACAAAATATAGTATGTTATACCCATATATCAAAACTTACGATATAAAAAAATAGATTATAACCAATTTATTTTCTTCCATTTTTAGAAAAAGAATCTTTCTTCTATCTTGTGCCCCTAAAATTGTTGACTGCATTTAGATTAGCATTTTTCATAAACTTTAACGTATATTTTAAAAAAATCTCAGTAATATGTGTTTTTAGAGTTTTCAAAATTATTAAAAATCACCATCATTTTCCTCTTCTCTTATCCGCCAGCTAGTCATCAGATGCCTCTTACGACTTTCATATCTTCTATCATGGTACCACTCTCTCTATTTTTATTTTTTTTTTCATTTCTGTCATATCCCTGTAATCCTCTTTCTTCTTCTCTCTCTTCTGCGCCCATCCTTGTAACCCATATTTCTTCTTCAACATTTCCTGCCACTTTTCAACTCCTCACCATTTTCTTCCCTCCCTCCTCCCCCTATACATAACCTCTAAATTCATATCCTTGCGACCCAATATATTTAACTTTACCTATCATAATGAAAATATAAAATTGAAAATTGATTACGATAGTTGCAATTATTAGTATCCAAAAATGGAAATGAAAAACTGATAATATCTATAATATCCTCAAGTACTACAATCAATATATATATATATATATATATTAACATAGCAAATACATGTTTACATATGAAGACAGCAATTCGAATACATAAAATAATTAATGATACCAAAAGTTATCGTTAGTGTTTGGGTTTTGCACTCTTATTCAAATCTAATGTCAAATTTGGGCCAGATATATACAAATTAAGTAGTATTTTAGGTTGAATGTTCTATATCTTTCTCTTAAACTATAATGTTACTTTTTTAAAAATTTTTGGTAGAACTGGTGTTGCTATTATAATTTTTTGTATCAAAAATGAATATTTCAAAAAGAAATTTCCAAGTTAAAAAGCTAGTAGTACTTTGTTTTTTATTTAGTGATTTCATAATTTGGATTTCATGAATGGTACCATTCTTGATTTTTTAAATCCACGACATTATTTCCTTTTTGTTTTCTATTTAATTTTGTCCTTTTACTTAGGATTACTAAGTTAAAAGATAAAATATTATCATTTACTTTTTTACTATTACTAATTTTGGCAATGTTTTCTTTTTATTTACCCTCCCACTAATAAACTTCAAACCAAATTCCTATATAAGTGGAGCCACTACTTTTTTAAACTAGAAAGACATGGAAGCCACTACTTACTTAAGAAAATGTTATTTGCACTCCATTTTTTATTATTTGCAATTCCACCATTTGTTTTTATCATATAGTCTAATTAATGAAAATTATATGATTAAAATGATTGTTGAAGTATGAATAACAAAAATGGAGTGTAAATAATATTACTTATTTAAATTAATAAGAAAGCATGAAAGGATGTTATATTTGTTATCTCTTCTTATGGTCTTATAGAAGTTTTAATTGTTGTAGAATCATAAATAATGCGAGACAATCAGAAACGTGATGGGTTGAAGTTCAAATAGGATAACATGCACATTAACCAACAATTTGAAATGAAATGATTTTAAAAAGTAACCAACAATTTCAAATGTAAAGAGTAGATGTGGAAGTTGAGAAGAATATATTTTATAAATTAAATTAAATGTGAAATACTAGAAAAATGGAATTGGTAGTGGGAAGATACACTAATACTCTCTCTCTCTCTCTCTCTCTCTCTCTCTCTCTCTCAAACACACACATATGCTTGCTTTCAATATTAGATAATATTTATAAACTAAGTGGCTATAAAATAAAAGAATTTGCTTTTAACTCAAAATGCATAGTATATATATATTTTTATATAAATCTAAGAGCATGATTTACGTTAAAGTTGACCATTGAACCCTCTCAATAAAAGGTCCTGGCTCATATATATATATATATATATATATATATATATGTGTGTGTGTGTGTGTGTGTGTGTGTGTGTGTGTTAAAATAAAGAATTTCATTTCATTGTCGATTGCAATTGATTATCAAACATATGAGTTTATGATCTTAGCAAATTAGTACTTAACATTTAAATTTAGGGTCTGTTTGATAACATAAAAAAGTGCTGAATCTGAATTTTTTCAGACATTCAGATGTTTTGAGTGTTTGATAAATAAAAATCTATTTGCTGAACTTGTTAAGCAGTGCTGAACCTATGTGTATTTTTTTCAGCACAAGAATCCTAACTGAATGCTTAATTCTGATAAGAATCAATAGAATTATTTCAATTACCTTATCTTATCTACCAAATCTACCCTTGTTTGTTAATTATGTTCAAAATTCTTATCTAATTAAACAACATAATATTCTCTATCTAACGATTTTTAGTTTTTCTTTTCTCCCTTTTTAATGACTTTCACATCTTTTCCATACTCCTCATATAATATATTTCATCTTTTATATTAATTTGATTTAAAAATAAATATTGTCATTTTCATACCTAACAATTTTAAACTAATTAAATCATAGATTTTATTTCTTTTTTGAATGAAAGGATATAAGGGCAAAATTGTCAATTATACATATAGTAATCCATAATTATAAAATATATATTACATATAATATGTTTATAATTATGAGTTTGAGTCGAGCCTGATTTGAGTCTAAAACTCATATAATAGTGGGAGCTCATTTTGAACCTTTTAATTAAACTCAAAATCTGAAAGCCCAAATCCCAAAAATCTGTATAATTTGTGAGCTGAACTTGGAATTATCATAACCCGCTCAGAAAGCTGAATTGACATGCCTAGTTAAATGTCAAGTTTATTATGTTTAGTAATTGCTAAATGATTAAGGCTCCGTTTGATAACACTGAATTCTGAATTCTGAATTCTGAATTCTGAATTCTGAATTCTGAATTATGAAATAATTAATTTGCTGAATTTTAAGCACTGAAAAGAGATATATGAATGTTTAAATCTTAATGCTGAATCTATTTATACTGTTTGATAAATATTCATAACTTAATGCTTAATAAGCTAAATTGTACAATTTTACCCTTCTATCTTTTAATCCAAAAACGAAATAGAACCTATGATTTAATTAACTTAAAATTATTAGGTATGAAAATGACAATGATTGTGAAGAGCAATGCATCCAATGACAATGTTTCTTTGTGTGGAAAAATGGTATGGTTTCATCATTTTGAGAATGGGAAAACAAGCTTTTAATACTCCAAAAGCACGTTCAATTACATTTCTCAATCTTGCATGTGCTTGGTTAAAGCGTTCTCCTTTTGATCTTGGACGAGAAGCATTTCAAAAATCAGACAACCAATAACTAATATTTCGACATGGTGTCATAAAACCACGTATGTGTGGATAAGCTGCATCACATAAATAATATTTATCTGCACAAAAAATATATATATCAAAATATAAATGTTTGTGGATGAAAATTACTGCAAAAAAATACTATTGTTAAAAAAAAATTTTGAATAGAGAATATCAGGTTGTTTTGTTTAATTAGATAAGAATTTTGAATGTAATTAACAAACAGGGATATATTTGGTAGATAAGATAAAGTAGTTGAAGTAAATCTCTTGATTCTTATTAAATTAAGCATTCAGCTACGATTCTTGTGCTGAAAAAAATACATACAAATTCAGCACCACTTAATAAGTTCAGCAGGTGAATTTTTATTTATCAAATACCCACAACATCTGAATGTCTGAATGAATTCAGTTTCAGCACTTTTTTATGTTATCAAACAGGCACTTAGGTTCCGTTTGATAAAACTGAATTCTGAAGTCTGAATTCTGAAATATGAATACTGAAACAATTAATTTACTGAATTTTAAGCACTGAAAAAAATATATGAATGTCTGAATTTTAATGCTAAACCTATTTATGCTGCTTGATAAATATTTATAGCTGAATGCTTAATAAGTTTAATTTGACAATTTTGCCCTTATATCCTTTCATTCAAAAAAGAAATAGAATCTATGATTTAATTAGTTTAAAATTGTTAGGTATGAAAATGACAATATTTATTTTTAAATCAAATTAATATAAAAGATGAAATATATTATATGAGGAGTATGGAGAAGATGTGAAAGTCATTAAAAAGGGAGAAAAGAGAAACTAAAAATCGTTAGATAGAGAATATTATGTTGTTTAATTAGATAAGAATTTTGAACCTAATTAACAAACAAGGGTAGATTTGGTAGATAAGATAAGGTAGTTGAAGTAATTCTATTGATTCTTATCAGAATTAAGCATTCAGTTAGGATTCCTGTGCTGAAAAAAATACACACAGGTTCAGCACTGCTTAACAAGTTCAGCAAATAGATTTTCATTTATCAAACACTCAAAACATCTGAATGTCTGAAAAAATTCAGATTCAGCACTTTTTTATGTTATCAAACAGACCCTTAGTCTTTCAGGTTTCAGACTTTGGTTTTCAGCTTTATTAAACCCCCTTCATGCCTTATACACGAGATAAACTTAAGAGTTGAGTCAAAAACTATTGAGCTAGTGTTGGTAGCAGTTATATTTCATTCTATAAATGCATCTAAGGTCTTATACCTCTTGTCTCTTGATGGAAGTATAGTCCAATTTACTGGTCCGCATAGGACTTAGCAACACAAATCCAGCATGCACTTTCACCAAAGAAACAGCCAAAAACCCAATTTCACACTTTCCATCTCAGCAATTACACACTTTTAGTGTAATTACCAAAGAAACAGCATGCTTTTTAGTGTTTTCTTGCAACAATTACACACTTTCCATCTCAATTCTGGCGTTTATTGCTTGCTTTTGCTTCCAAAGTGCTTCAAAGTCACATTTTATGCTGCACTAAGTCCCACTATAAATATCCCACCCAACCGTTCACCTCTTTATCATCGAAACTCCATTTACTAATCTCTTCTCTACTGATAGTTGTAAGTTTTTGCTCAAGAGGTGAAAATGGAGAAGCCCATCGGTCTTTTTGTTGTCACATTTCTCTCCTTCTTGTTAAATCAATCAATGGCCATTGTGGGAAGGTACAATGTTCTGGAATTGGGAGCAAAGGCTGACGGGAATACAGATTCAACCGAGTCTCTGTTGAGTGCATGGGCAGCAGCTTGTGGCTCTTCCAAACCATCCACAATTCTTGTACCAAAAGGGAGGTTTTTAGTCAAGCGAGTACAATTCTCTGGACCATGCAAGAATAAAGTCATAAACTTTCGAATTCGGGGTACCCTTGTGGCTCCTTCAGATCATGAAGTTCTTGGAAATGCTGGTTACTGGCTTCACTTTCAGAATGTTGATGGAGTCACCATTCATGGTGGCATTCTGGATGCTCGAGGTGCTGGTCTCTGGGCTTGCAAAGCAGCCGGGAATGGGTGTTCTAGCGGCGGCGCGACGGTATGTCAAATTGACCAAATTGTCCTTCACCGTCTTACTTTGGTTGCTTCTTTACCTGTGACAGATCTTGAAGGGCAGTTTTGGCCTTTTAGCATATGGACGGATGCTAATTATGAGCATAACTGATGATAGTGGGGGAAGTGGGAGGTTTCAGACTTTAATCGAAGACTAACTAATAAATAGTAAAACTTTAATAAAATCTTGCTGAGCTGCTTCTTTTCTCTCACTTGAGTGTGAAATAAATTAAATTAAACCGCTAATTTTTTATTCTTCATTGTAGAATTAATGTCATGTATTTCTGGGGTCCTCATTGGTGGTTACAAAACAAAAGCAGCTGAATAGTTTAGACCTTTTGGATCCCTTCCGTTACACAAAATTTTTTGTTTTTTTTTAAAAAAAATTTTTTGGAACCATGGGGATGGTCCAGTGGTAGGCGAACTCTTAAGGACCCATTTGGTTCTGGGTTTGAATCTTACCCTGAACTTGAACCCCCGTGACTCGGTCGGGGTGCGTGGCTTGGAGTCATGGCATACTCCTCTGGCTTAGTGTGTCGGCTCGGGTCCAAAGTGGATCGAATCGGGGCATGTTCCAGGTTACCAAAAAAAAATGTTTTGCTATTTTGCTTGTCAATCCACATTAATTTTCAATGTAATTACATCATGGTTGATTAGCAAATTGTGTGAATCTTGCAAGTCACTGATTAATTGAGTTTAGTGCTTTTTGTCCAATTAAAACTCTTTATGCAGACGCTAGGATTCACCAACTCAAACAACATTGCCATTACCAGGCTCACTTCTCTCAACAGCCAAATGTATCACCTGGTATTCATCGGTTGCAATCAAGTCAAGTTGCAAAAGATTAAAGTTTTGGCAGCCGGAAACAGCCCCAACACGGATGGAATACACGTCCAGTTTTCATCTGGGGTGGCGATTTTGAGCTCTAGGATCAGCACAGGAGATGATTGTGTCTCAATTGGCCCTGGCACCACTAATTTGTGGATTGAGAATGTTTTTTGCGGCCCCGGCCACGGCATTAGGTAAAATTCAAATTGATAATAATACGATTTTTGTTATGCATGTTGAGATTAATTTTCTTCTTTATGTAAGGATTAATTCAATTAACTAACATGGAACATTAATAAAAGTGATTATCACGTGGTAAATTATTTTTTTTTTGGTTTTTTCTTTTGCAGCATTGGGAGTCTAGCAAAAGATTTTGAAGAAGAGGGAGTACAGAATGTGACAGTAAAAAGAGTTAAATTCAGGAATACACAAAATGGTGCAAGAATTAAGTCATGGGGTAGGCCAAGCAAAGGATTCGTGAAGGATGTCCTATTCCAGCATGTCACTATGATCAATGTCCAAAACCCCATTGTTATCGACCAAAATTATTGCCCAAGTCACATAAATTGTCCTGGCCAGGTAAAGTCCTACCAATTTAATGCATTATTCATTTGGCTTTTACAAGGGGAATAATGTTTGTTCCACCTCAAGAAATTGCTCCGTTTGGATTAGCTGTTTTTTAGGGTGTTTTTGAAAAATTTTAGTGTAGCAGAGTTTTTAGAGTACATTTTGGGATTTTTCAAAAAATATTTTGGAATATTTAAGAATAGTAGAGTTTTTAAAATATATTTTGAAATTTGTTTGAATATTAAAAAAATTAAGGCTACTTTTTAGAGTACTTTTTAAAAATTTTTATAATATTTGAAAAATTAATTTTTGAAAAATTAAACATTATCAAGAATGCGTTTAACTTGATCGCGAAGTTAATTTTCAACTTTAAAAAAAAATGACAAAGAAAAACAAATATCGGATACCCCACATCTTCCTCTGGATATATCTAAATATCTTGAACCTTACATATTTTTTTTTTCATTTTTCTTTTTGGTTGACAGGTTTCGGGCGTAAAAATAAATGATGTAACATATCGCGACATCCATGGAACATCAGCAACAGAAGTTGCAGTTAAATTTGATTGTAGCAACAAGTATCCATGCAGCGCAATAAGATTGGAAGATGTGAAGTTGACATACAAAAATCAGAAAGCTAAATCATCTTGTGCCAATGCTGCTGGAACTGCACTTGGTTTGCTTGAGCCTGCAAGCTGTTTCTAGGCAAAGATCACAAGTCAAAAAAAAAAATGCAGATGATTTTGCCTCTAGAAAAATGAAATTGAGAGTCGAAAAGTATGTGGAGGCTCGTTGCTAAAAGACCCTTCTCAAATTTATATAGATTAGATCTTGCTTGGGCCTGTGGTGTTGGCATATGTTCGTTGTTCGCCTGGACATGCAAGAATCTTGATGAGTAGTAAGTAACAATACCATTGGAGGGTTATGATGACTGATTTCGTATTTTGGAATGAATTTTGATTTTGAAGTATCCAGTGGAATTGTTTTGTCCTTGTCCTGCAAATACATATATATATATATAGAAAGTATTTATGAGTTTAATTAATGCACTTTATACCTCAAAAAAAAAAAAGCAAAGTACACTTTGGGCCTCCTATTTCTTTACTAAAATATATTTTGCAACAATCACTATCAATTATTGTCAGTATTTGGGGTTGATTGGTGACAATTAGGCGCAAATCATCCAAATACAAGTTGGGGTAAAGGGCAAATCTCACAATAAGAGGAGCAATTGAGTAGAGCATTGGGCCAAAGAATATCTTTCATTACAGGTAAAACTTCTTTGAGCCCCATGGATTTATAAAAATAAGGATTAAGTTTTTATCCACCGTCAACGACAACTGGTATGGATGTATATCAATTATGTACAAAGTGAATTTCAAATGGCACGTAGCTACATCTGCTTATGTATACATTAATATTAACAGTGTATAAAAAATTACCCTATAAACAAAGTAAACAAATGAATTAGCAAAACAAACCCCATCTTTCTCTCCTAACAATCTCGAATAAGAAAAAAATTAATAAAACAACAAAAAAGGGGAAAAGAATCACTTGAAAAAAGAAAAAGAGACATAAAAAAAAAAAATATATATATATATATATATATATATATATATATATTGAAAGGAAGATGCAGCTTATTGGAGCATGTGGAAAAGCATGGCTTGTGAAATTAGTTGTATCCCAACAATAATCTAATTGTACATGAATTAGTTTTACATTAAATTGTTGAAATAGAAAAACACGTAGACAAATTGTGGAGAAAGCTTGAAAATCGCCTGTGTCTTCGGTTGCCATCAAGCCATCACGTTAGGGAGACAGTTGCATGAGATAGAAGATGTAGACAGGAAATATAAGATTCTATTCTCACATTTCAATCATACAGTACAAAAAGTCAAACTTCTCGTACAGATCTACTAATCCACCGATATAAGTGCTGCTTCTTATGGTTCATGATCTGCACTATAACAATTCTTCCATCCCTTATTATCTTGGGTTCTTCTCAAATATATATATAAAAGGTGAGAAAAAGGACTCAGTGCGGTTGGAGTTCTGTATGATTCAATCCCGTTGTCATACTTTTTATATTATTTGGTGTATAAATATATTATATTGTTATATTCCTAATAAAAGTGAAGTATAAGAACAAGATACTTGACACATATTCTTCTTTTTTTTTTCACTTGACATATATTCAGTACAACATTATAGTATATTTATACATGAAAAATTTAAGCACGTACAACAACTGGATAGAATCGTATAAAATACAACAACACTGAGTCCTTGTCCCAAAAGGTGACACGTATATTTATTTTATCTGAAAGGCGTTATCATTTACAATGCAAAAACAAATGCAATTAGGGGGTGATGATATTTTTTATGTACTCCCTCCTCCCCAAAATTTGGGACGCTTTTTGGGAAACACACTTTTTATGTACAGTAACATTATGGGGATACACTTATCTGATTCTTCCAATCGTACCCTTTGCTGTTTGTGGAGTAAAACAACAAACTGTTGAGGACCACTTGCCATTAAGTCACTTTGACTAAAAGGCAAAGACAATCAGAAGGGTATAACTTCCGATGATGTGTTATGGCTGGGTCCATCAGAATTGGTTAGTGCAATCTTGACTTTTCAATAGAAGGGTATAACTGAAAAATAATTTTAAAAGTGGTTTGGCTTTTTCAAAGTGACTCAAATTTTGGGACAAGCAAAAAGTGGAAATATGACATTAACAATGGGACGGAGGGAGTACTACTTATGATGTGCCCTTAAGGCACATAGTAGAATGAGTTTATTCTATTTATGATTAATGTTGTGTTAGTGCAAGAATTTTCTTACACATTGACTTCAATTGTTAATATTTATTGTATCTTCAAGCTTATAACCACGGTCTACATTTTAAAGACATTATGGATCTTAAGTCCACAAGAGCGAAAAAATTGGTGTTGAATTCGCCTCGAGTTGAAAAAATTCGAGAAAATTGTAAAGATACAAATACATTGATGCTGAAAATTACATAGCATTCTTAAAAGTATTTGTGTTTTAATACAACTAAACTATTTGTTTATTGTCTTTCACTTAAGTTGTCAATTTTTTTTCAACAATTAATATTTTATACAAGTACATATATCATTCTACTGTTGACCTTGATCACGTTAGATTGTTTAATTAGGCCGGTCACCTAAATTGTAGTTTATGCATGTTAAACTCATTAATTATAGTTAATAATTACAGATTCCATGCCGTACATCTCCAAGTACATATCTGACCACAGATCCACGTCAAACTTTGCACTATAAATAATCTCAAGCTTACTAACTCCTTAATCTACTCAAACTTGATTTCCATTCTCATCTCCTTTTAACTTTCATTGCCTTGAAGGCTAATAATCAAACAATGGCTAAATGCATTTCGATTCTATCAATCCTTTTTCTCTCCATTCTTTGCCATTTCACTCCAAATATTGCAGCTAATAATGTGGTACATTTTGGCGCACGGGGAGATGGGAGAACAGACTCGACGTTGCCTTTCCTCCGGGCATGGATGTCAGCCTGCAGCTCAGCCAGGCCGGCAACAGTGTATGTGCCCCGTAGAACTTTCTTGATGAAAACTGTCACATTTTCAGGCCCCTGCAGGAGCAGAATTAGGTTTCAGATAGATGGAACCCTTGTTGCTCCAAACAATCATCGTGCACTCGGAAATTCGGGCTTCTGGATTTTGTTTCATAAGGTCAGTAGGCTCACAATCTATGGTGGAACTGTGGATGCTCGAGGAGCTGGTTTTTGGGCTTGCAGGAAGAATGGCCGTAATTGCCCAGCTGGAGCAAGGGTAAGTCGTACATATCTACACAAATATTCTAACAATCTAACATGCTAATTATATCAATCCATACACGTTTGTAGACAGGAAAATCAAAGCAAAAAAATGTTGATACGTGACACAACTCTATGGTAAAAACAAAGTAAAAGACGATTTGAATCCGATTTTTTAGATACTCAGCGTTTGTGTTAATCGCATCTCAGTTTTTGTTTAGTCAATATTTGTAATTAAATTACGGGCAATGCAGATTAACTACGACTAATCAAAAAAAATTTCGAACAATGCAGTCAATATCACTAATTTGGTGTAACAATGTACTGGTGAGCGGATTGAAATCGGTGAACAGCCAGACAATGCATATGGCTATAGGCCATTGTAGCAATGTGAAGATACAGAATGTGAAGATCATTGCCCCCAGTGGAAGCCCCAATACAGATGGCATTCATGTTGAATCGTCAATTGGTGTTTCAATCCTGGACAGCATGATCAGAACGGGTGACGACTGTATATCAATTGGCCCTGGCTCCATGAACCTGTGGATTTCAAGAATTGGCTGTGGCCCTGGACATGGAATTAGGTAAAATCACAAATTGAACAACATGATTGAAACTCATAAGGGTATGATAATTACAAGCAATTGTATCTAACCCTCATTACAAAATCACATAATACAGTAGCAGCAGAAGCACCTTAAGTGTGACCCTTTACCAACTGAAGTTTTCTAGCTAGTTAATTTCTATATCTAGCTAGGAGAAGCCAAGTTTTGCGCATTTTTGGATTAATTTCTATGTTGATTTTTGGTGCAGTATTGGTAGCTTGGGCAATAGTTACAATGAAGCAGGAGTGCAGAATGTGACCGTAACTAACTCCATTTTCACCAAAACTCAGAATGGAGTGCGGGTAAAGTCATGGGCAAGACCAAGTGGTGGCTACGCTAGAAATCTTCACTTTCGAAATTTGATCATGAGAAATGTTGCCTATCCCATCATCATCGACCAAAAATATTGCCCAGATAATGTTTGCCCCCGTCAGGTAAGCAATCCCACAAACACCACCGCCTCGAACTGCCTTGCAAAATATTGTTCAGGCTCAATTTCATCTAGCTTGATATTCCTAGGTTTCAAGAAATGATTTAAGTTTCTCGGGCGGATGGTTTTGCAGGGGTCTGGAGTGAAGATTAGTCAAGTAACGTACAGAAACATAAAGGGCACATCAGCAACCCAAGCAGCAGTAAAGTTCGAATGCAGTTCCAGTAATCCATGTAGAGGAATCACATTACACGACATAAAGCTTACTTACTCCAACCGATTATTTGACAGGCCAACGGTGGCTTATTGTAGCAATGCAATGGGAACTCATAGAGGCTCTGTCTTCCCAAAGAGTTGTTTCTAAATGGATCCCCAACTTTTATGCACATAAATTTTATGCTTAATTCAGTCCTTTTTTTTTTTTGGGAGAGCTCTACCTGGTTTTAATTTTTTTTTTTTCAAAGTTGAACAAGAATAATTCTAACCTTAAACCCACAGTAATACCAAAAGCCGGTAACTTCTGGTACCACTGAGGAGACTATAACTATACTCACACACCCTGGACAAACCGATGTGGGATACGGGGAAGGGAACAGGGGACAATCACACACCCTACCTGGTTTTAGTTGGACTATTCATTTTTCCAATTAATTAGATATGTGAGCTTTTCAACATAATTGTATCAGGCCTTCCATTTATATATGATGAGAAGTGCCAACTACATATTATATCTAAAGATTTCTTTCCATTCCTAATTTTCTCCTATCGCTTCTTTCTCCTCCTTATGGAAAACTCATTTGTACATGTACATATACATGCGTATTATGTGTACGACATCTATACAATGTATAATGCGTGAACGATGATAGTTGATGCAAACACTTTTGTCGTTTTTTGGACTTTCAATTTTATCCTTATAAAAATTAGTTTTTACCTTAATCACCTAATCACATTTTGACAATATAATTACTTATAGCCATCCTAAGTATTGTAACTACCAAACTACTATCATCATATAAACCATAGGTCTTTCATGAAAATTTTACACAAATTTTTTTGTATGTAACAAACAAAAGTTATACAAAATTGATTCATTTGAATTATTTTCTAATTGCACACGCATTGGATGTGCCTTTAATACTAGTATAGATAATTGTAACCAGTCGTCAAAATGTAGAAAAGCGAATTGCTGAAGACCATTTGAACAATATTTTAGTTTTCGATCTTCAAACTTTGCATTTTTCGAGGTTGCTAAGTGTTTACATGCGAATTCCAGTGCTTGTTAGATTTTTTTAATACAGGTCTTAGATTCTTTGATTGAAATAGTTGCCTATGCTTTTTGGATACTTGTTGGGATGGTGATTTACTATTTGTCATTTATACTTTTCACCCTATATATATATATATATATATCTTAGAATATCATCAACTCTATAGTACATTACTTGAATTGGTTAAAAACCAACTGACTTTGATAGTTATCTTTGCAATAGAGATACTTTACTTCCCCTAATTCACATATGTTTACTGAAATAGTCTTGTTGATCTAGGGAAACTAAAGTCTTGTTGTTCAAGAAGTTAACTGTCAATACTCAAGAAATCAAAGACTTTTATTGTTTTACAATAAATTTAGAAGAATGAAGGGAAAATGTCTAAAGAAGAATCCATTAAATGGAATAAAATAGGTTGAAAATGTCACTAATCAGTTGTAAAACAAAGAAATCAAAAGGGAGAATTGGGAAAATGAGATTGCAAAGAAACCACCGACAAAAAAAAAATATGGAGTCTCATGCAATAACTGATCTTTTATATCCTTTACATATGCAACAATAGTTTTATTGTTTTGAAAACTTTTAGATCGGATACCTGACCAAGTATAATGATCCAAATGTCCCCAAAATTACGTTGCTTTTACATGATCATGTTTCTGATTTCTTGTAAGAAACTCACATCTTATCTGTCATTCCTTCTTAATCATTAGCGAATATGTTCCCAGCAGCTAGAGTCCCGCCGGTGTCTGCGGTTGCCATTAAGATATCACGTTGTATGAACACTTGCATGAGCTATAGGTGGTGCAGAAACAAATATATCCTTTAGCTCAGAATCAGTGTATACACCAGCGAGTTTAGATGCCTATCACACGTGCAAAATTTAGTGTTCAAATTGCATATTGAAATGATGTAACATATATCTCGATTTGTTATTGTATATATGTACTGACAGTGTAGAAAGGATTAATCCTTCGTAAATATACATAAACATACATAAGTGCTATTTGTTATAGACTTATAGTGCATACTTTGCTACAAGGCCTTTCCTCTTTGGTTTGTAAACAAAATTTAGAAAAAGAAAAGGGAAGTTTGATGTATAAGGTTAAGTCGGTCACTAATAAATCATATTCAGGTAAGATAGTCTAATTTTTTTTGCATCACTGTGTGTGAGTTATATAATCAGATTAATGTTTTTTCCTATAACTATCGGTGCAGCGAATTTTTTTTATTTTAACTGTTCTAAATAATGACACTTAAATTTGAAATTCAATTTATACACATATATTACGCATTTTGCACTTGCTAGTAATTCGAAAAATACACATATTAAGTCTAGTGATTAAAAAATACACGTATTAAGTAGGAAAGATCAATTCTATGTATAAGTGTCATATTATCAAAATTCTAGAAAATGAGCCTTCACCCTTATCATTAGTGCAATCGAAGCTTCAAAATGTGAGGTTAGAGGAAGTGCTTGCAATTGCACATACCCTGGGTTTATCTGATTGATCTTCAGATAAATTAAGTGGAGGACATCTCTTTGCAAATAAAATTTGGATTCAGCTAATACAGGAAGCTTAATTCAATGTATACAATTCCAGAAAATGATCATCTAGGTAGAAAAAGCTTTTGCTTATTGGTATCGGACACACAAGAATCAATTCAGCTAATATGGCAAGGCTAAATTCAATGTATACAATCGAGATAATCAATCAATCAATCAATCAATCAAGGTTGAACGAGTGTTTTCAACAGGCGAGCATTGATTAACAATCAGTTCATGCAGATATATCATTTTCTCTGTTCTTGAGTAGCATACATGAAATGCCTATTCAATATATATGTCCAGCAATGTCTTTGAATTGTTTGTCAAGACTTTTTTTTTCCACCCTTCTTGAAACAGAAGACAGAAAATATAATGATTATAATTATCTTAATCACAACAGATTGACGTCAGTCACATGTTCAAGAGACTAAATTGTTGGTGCTTCCTGCGTTAATCATGGATCTTAAATTCCCAAGTATATATTAGCAAATAAAAATTCATGATTACAATACTAATACCTTGCTTAATCTGCCCCGATAAAGAATCTAAACCCAAATTCCACCGTACATCTCTGAGTACATGACGTGGGATTAACAGGTTTAACATTTTAAACACCTACATTAATCAATGCATTCTTGTACTACTATAAATAATCAGAGGTTGCTTCTTCAATCTTCTCAAACTTGACATAGAATTAATATCCATTCCTCACTTCTTGTCTGAGAAAGGCTGAACAATGGCGAATCCCATTTGCATTTCAGGGATACTTTTTCTCTCCATTTTCAGCCTTTATTCAACCCTCATTGCAGCTTACAATGTAGTAAATTTTGGTGCCAGGGGAGATGGGAGAACAGATTCCACGGCAGCATTTCTCCGGGCCTGGATGTCAGCTTGCAGCTCAGCTAGCCCGGCAACAGTTTACGTGCCCCCAGGGAACTTCTTGATTAGAGCGGTATCTTTCTCAGGGCCCTGTAGGAGCAGAATCCAGTTCCAAATAGATGGAACTCTTGTTGCTCCTGATAATTATTATGTCATTGGCAACTCTGGATTCTGGATTTTGTTTTATAAGGTCAGTAGGCTGACAATCAGTGGTGGAACCATCGATGCCCGGGGAAATGGATTTTGGTCTTGTAGGAAGGACGGCAACAATTGCCCGGCTGGAGCCAGGGTAAGTCTCCTGATCAAAGAATTGTTTTGATTTGATACCTTTGCCCTGTGGGAATTAATTGAGTCAATTCTTTATGATTGATCGATTAATAATGGTGAAATTGAATGCAGTCGATGATGCTAATGTGGTGTAACGATGTATTGGTAAGCGGATTGACATCATATAATAGCCAGACAATTCACATTGGCATCGACCACAGCAGCAATATGAAGTTACAGAATCTGAAAATCACTGCCCCAAGTGGAAGCCCCAACACAGACGGCATACATGTGGAATCATCAACGGGTGTCACAATTGTGGGCAGTACCATCAAGACAGGCGATGACTGCATATCAATTGGTGCTGGCACCATGAACCTGTGGATTTCAAATATTGGCTGTGGCCCTGGACATGGAATCAGGTAAAAATAGACATTATTGTCGTGCATTTTCAATTTGCATGAGCCAAATAAGAATAGATGATCAGGTTCCATGGAGTTGTCTAGCTATTACTCCCTCTGTCTCATTTTGATAGTCCTGTTTCCCTTTTTCGTCCGTTCCAAATTATAACTCACCTTTCAATTGAAGAATGTAGTTATATTTTAATTTCTCTAAAAGACCCTTATTCAATGTAGGTTGTTATTAGTATAACCTACCTTATTTAATATAGATTATTATTGAATATAACATGTCGTCCTATTTAATGTAAAAGGAGGATTGATTCTTTCTTGACCATCAATTCATATTCCCATAAACCATTAATTCAAGTTTCCATGAATAATTAATATAAACTTATACTATATTTAATGTAACAGTATTTTAGAAAAATAGCAATTTAAATTTATTTTTCAAACAAAGTTAACTACTTTTTCTTAAACTGTGTAAAAAAAAAAAAAAAAAACTAGAACTATCAAAATGGGACGAAGGGAGTACATTTTTCCTGATTCAAAACTTTCTGCTGCAACTGATTTTATGATGGTCAATTGGCCAGTCAATATATTATGTACTAGTAATTAATTATTTGTACAATTCTAATCAATCTCTCATGAGCTTTTCAAACTATAGTTTAGTGGAGTATTGAGTTTTTCAAGGCACCATGGGGCAAATAACTTGTTTTTAAACACATGGATCCCAACCGGCAAACACATTATTCACCAAAGAAACTGAATTAATAGAGTATCTGAATTCTTAAAAGTTACACCCAAGCGAAGAGAAAGTAATTAATGAGACTACATCTGATTCTTGCATCTTACATTTATAGTAACCTCAATTTTACTAAGTTGAAATAATTTATCTCGCTGCAGCATTGGTAGTCTGGGCAATAGTTACCATGAAGCTGGAGTCCAAAATGTGACAGTCGCCGACTCCGTTTTCACCGAAACAGAGAATGGGGTAGGGATA